TGGTCTTCAACTTGCAATCCTCCTATCCTCCTGTTTCAGCCTCCAAATTGTTGGGATTACAGGCAACCACAGCATCCCAGCTGTTTTTTTTTTTTTTTTTTTTTTTTAAGATTTGAGATCATTGTTGTAAAAATCAGATCTGAGAGTTAAACTTCTTGGTCTCAAGCTATATAATTAAAGTCAATTTTCTGACAAAGCAAAAAAAATGTCCACAAAAATCAACATGGCTTCAAATTGTTAATAGAAAGCATAAAACTATATTTYTTACTGTTACTTGTACAAGCAAGAAGACAAAGAAAATATTTACATGTAACTTTTATGCTCTGGACTATGCTAATGTTATATACATAAATGACACACCTGAGATATCTGTCCTCAAATACATATGACATGGATGGGATATTTGCCCTCAGGTTCATGTCAAATGTGCAGTTATTTGGATTCGAAGCCAACAACAACATAACAAATGCAGAGAACAACAGACCAAAAAAGAAAAAAAAAAAAACAAAACAGAAAGAAATCTTCATTAAGGCAAGATCCATTTAAATTTAGAGCTTACACTGGATAATAAACAGTTTGTGAAATAGTCAGAAGAGAAGGGAGAGAAATATTCAAGCAACAATTTAAGGAAGTCCATTTTATAAGATCATTTAATTCCAGTTGTTCAGTACTTATTTATGTCAGACCACCTCTTTACTGAATGTTGAGTTTCCTGTACTCAGACTTGGAAAAAATCATCTTGTGGTTTGAAAATAGCATACTCTCAAGATAGTTGAGTGAAAAGTATATTTTTGGCTTGCTATTTTTTTTTTTTTACAACAAATTCTACTTTAAAATGAGGGTGAATTAACCAGATTTGAGATTAACTCTCATTGGTAGAACTGTGGGAGGTTATTCACTATGCTTGGAAGATAATGGACCAGAGCTGGGCGAAGTGTGGCACACCCCTGTAATCCAGCAGCTCAGGAGGCTGAAGGAGGAGGATGGAGAGTTCAAAGCCAGCCTCAGCAACAGAAAGGCACCAAGCAAGTGAGGCTGTGTCTCTAAATAAAATACAAAATAGGGCTGGGGATGTGGCTCAGTGGTCAAGTGCCCCTGAGTTCAATCCCTAGTACCCTCCCCACCCCCCAAAAAGATAACAGATTAGATTTTATTTTGGCAGGGGGAGGGGTGGGAATCAGGGATTGAATCCAGGGGTGCTTAATTAAGAAGCCACATCCTCAGCCCTTTTTAAATATTTTATTTAGAGACAGGGTCTTGCTAAACTGCTTAGGGTCTCATAAAGTTGCTGAGGCTGGCTTTGAATTCACCATCCTCCTACATCAGCCTCCTACCTCAGCAACTGGGGTGCTGGGATTATAGGCATTTGCCACCATGCCCAGCTATAGATCAGATTTTCAAAAGTGTTTTATACCTAAATCATTGACAGAAGAGGACCTGAAATAAAGAAGAGTTTTTGATATGTTAATTTTTTTTTTTTTTTTAATTTAAGAGTATAAAGGGGGCTGGGGATGTGGCTCAAGYGGTAGCGCGCTCGCCTGGCATGCGTGCGGCCTGGGTTCGATCCTCAGCACCACATACAAACAAAGATGTTGTGTCTGCCGAAAACTAAAAAATAAATTCTCTCTCTCTCTCTTTCTTTCTTTATTTTTTTAGAGAGAGAGAGAGAGAGAGAGAGAGAGAATTTTTTTTGGCAAGAGTTCCAGGCCAGCCTGTGCAACTTTGCAAGACCCTGTATTAAAAAAAGAAAGAAAGAAAGAAAGAAAAATTGGGGGAGCAAGAGGGAAGCTTTCCTAAAACAGAGTAGAGGAAGAATTGTGCTCAAGTTAAAGAACAAAATCTGAAGAATACCAACAGCAGAAACATTCTGGAGTAAAATGAATGCCAATAGCTCTCTCAGTATGAATTTACTAAAATTAAAAGGTAAACAGCCTCAACTTGTGGAGGCTTACAACATCAGAATGTGCAGCACACTTGTGATACCAGACCCTCTAGGAAAAAAAGAAATACTCAAAACAAAAATTTTAAAGGGTATGGAAATGACTCTAAAGTGAAAATTAGAACATTCTAATTTACTTTCAATAAATGAAAATAAAAATCACGTAGGATTAGAAGATACTATTACGTTTTTGATCAMTTATCCCAGAAAGTGAATTATTAGGATCGTATCTCTTCAAAGCCAATGTAAAAGTCAATGATCCTTCTAAAAATATTCAGAATAGGGTACATTTCAACATTTAAGAAACCGCGAAATAAGTGTGTAAATTATTTGAAAAAAATGAAAAAATTAAAAATTTGACTGATATTATGCTTGTAATATTTCTAAAACATTTAAAAATATGTGAATATTATTACTTCTATTTTAAAAGGTATAAGAAAAATTACTCTTTTGGGGGGCTTCTAGGAAAACTTAAGGCATAATCAATATCCACACCCAAACGTGCATGCGTGTGTGTGTGTGTGTGTGTGTGTGTGTGTATCTCTAAATTTCTTTTTAGGGATCATTATCTATTTAAGGTGCATGAAGAGCTCAGTCAGTGACAGTCCAGGAATCAGAAACCAGCTCAAGTCGATCATTTCATGAGCATAACAAATCACCCAGAAGCCCACCTTTAATAACTAAAGCAGTCATAAAAACAGGCCGATAGTTACCCTACTCCAGCGAGAACATAATCCTCGGTCTTATTGTTGTGAAGCAGATGTCATTATGGGTGGGGCTGACGCGCCGAGCAGCCGAAACATTTTTGAACCACCCCCCGCCCCCCGCACACTTTCAATGGGATAGAAGGGGCTCCAAAAGGTAAGGGGAGGACTCCCAATCTCCCATTCCTGCTAGGAATGAGCAAGTCTCGACGTGGCCGTGGTACTCCTAAAGACCACAGTGAGATTTCCTCAAATTCCCCACAATTAAGTCCTACTCTGCGAAAGAGACCGTCCCTCTCTCCCCTCCCCTGCCGGCTCCTCCTCGGGACACTTGGCTGAGTCTTTCTTTCCCTTCTTCCCACGCTGAGGTGAGGCGGCACCCAAGCTGGAGACGCCTGTTTTTCTCTGCGCGCGGAGGGAACGCTGCGGGTAGGAAGCCAGAGAGGCGGGAAGGGAGCGGGCGGCATTGTGGGGAGGCAGAAAAGGCTCGCCCGGGACGAGCCGGGCTGGGGGAGAGAAGGGACACGAGGGCCGCTGGGCCGAGGTGACGAGGGAAATCTCTGACTCCGAGCTGGGACAGGGCGCTTCCGGCGGGCCACGGTCGTTCTCGGCCTGGCGCGGCCCACCTTCCAGGCCCCAGCCCGGCCGTTTAGGGGATTAGGAGAGAGAGAGTAAACCGCGGCTCACACTTGCCTCAGAGCGGGTGACCAATAATTGATAATAGTCTTTGCTCGGCGCCGGGCCTTGTCCTACAATTTCGAACAGTGTCTCCGGCAACCACGACGCCATCTTGGGACGCCACCGCCGTCGCTAAGACAACCAGGAAGGGGCGGGGCTTGATTGGGGTCAGGAGGCCAAAGCCCTAGTTTAAACCGAATCACGCTTTTGAGCTGGCAGGGGTGTTTCTAACTCGGAGAGATCGTTTCTTCTTCCAAGGGTCACAAGGAACCCTGGTCCGTGAAATTTCCACGTCCAGGTCTTGGGTGACCCGAAGGGGAATTAGTTCCTGCTACCACAGAGGGGAGGGGGTGACCCCGGCGGAGGGATACCAAGCGGAGTCCCACAGTCCCCTTCCTGGTCCCTCGAAGGGATCGGGAGGAGATCTGAGGCCGCTTGGAGAGTTGATCCGAGGCCTGGGGAGGGAGGGGCGATGTGATGGCCCGCGAGTAGGCAGCGGGACCGGTCCCGCGGGCGCTCCAGCGAGCAGGGGCCAAGGGGAAAAGTAGTTCCCAGAGGGTGTTGGAACGGGCGGGGAGAGGCGGCGCGGGCGGAGGCGCACGCCGGGCGGGGTGCTGCGGCTCAGCTGATAATTGAAGGGACCCGAAGAGCCGCCGCCGCCGCCGCCGCCGGGGGGGGTGGGGGGAGCGAGTGGAAGTTACTGTCGCGCCACCGAGTCCGGACCGGAGACTTTGGGGCCTAACTAGGTAATTGGGGAGCAGTGCTGAGCGGCTGGGGCAGGCTTGGGGGAGGGGGCCGTACTGAGGGGTGGGGGATGACGGGGGGGGAGGAGCTGGAACAGAAAGTCCCAGGAAGCCCGGTTGTGTCATCGCCGCGTTTCGGCCCCCGCTCGGCCTGCTCTTGGCGGTGGCGGCTGGGCCGCGGAAGGACCGGCCCAGGGGTTGACGGGCGAGGCGCTCGAGGAAGACCGCGGCCTGAGGGACCGGGGCCGGCGGGAGCGGGGCGGGGTCGCTGGGTCCCCCCTCCGGCCCCCGGCAATGAGGAGGGACCTTCACGGAATCGGGGTGAGGCATGTGGGTCTTGGGGAGTCCACCGGGGATTGGGGGGCCGGAAGTGGGCTTTGGAGCTTGGAGGGCGTCTAGGAAGGGAGAAAGTGGGGGGCCGGAAGTGCAGGTGGGGGGTGTGAAGACGGCAAGGGTTCCCCGGAAATGGGACTGGGGGCCCGGAAACCGGGAGAGGGGAGGCTTCGGGCCGGGGACGGCCCGGAAATGGAAACTAGGGAGCAGCTCGAGTGACAACAGTTGTGGGAAGCGAGGGTCAGAGGAGGGAGAGGCCGGAGTGACTTTAGACCGCAGTAAGGGGTTTCCTGCCGGGGGGACGGTTGGGGGCGGGCGAGCTCGGAGCCGGGGCTGCGCGGGGCAGTTGTTTTAGCCGTGGGAAGTTGGGGCTGAGGAAGGGTGACGACGTGAGGGTGGGTGGCGGGCATGGAAAAGGCCGAGAAACTTGGCTGAGAGGAAGGGAGCAGTATCCGTAGAGATTGATGGGACTGGGAGTGGGTGGGTGGGGAGGTTAACTAGGGCTTGGGGAGGGAGACGGTCCAATTGTCACCTCAGTCGCATTACATTCATAGAGACTCAGGCGGTTAATTTATATATGGATTACATAAAACCTGTTATGATGTCTGCCCGTCGTGTCTGCCCCCTCCTCATTCCTGCCCCGAAGTGAGCGGGGCGCTAGTACAGAGACAAGTCAGGGGGAGTCGGAGTAACGAGGGCTGCGAATGCCTGACCCTGTGGTCTCCCCCCACCCCCCGGGGGCCTCTTGATTCCTCAGAAACGGAGAATATCTTAAATGTAAAGCTCGTGCAAATTGGGAGGGTGATAACTTACACCTTTGAGCTCCTGTGGTGAGGGGAGGAAGGGGCAGCTTCCAAACCCTCAGGACGGGCTTGTTTTGAATAATGCCGTTTTACTGTGGGGGAGATTGAGCATGGAGCGTCGCGCCTGGCTATGGGGATGGTTGAACCGCTTCGTTACTGAATTGGGGGAGGGACGGGGTGGACGTGTGCGTGGTGGTGGGCTGCTGACTGCGCTTGGATGTCTTGACTGTCCTCCTGCCGCCTCCCGTACTAGTCGGCTCTCCCGATCTTTCCTGGGCTGCCAAATCACCCGATCTCCAGGCTTTCCTCCGTTTTGTAGGCCCTTTAATGTGTGTTTAACTTTTATTCCTCTTGAGAGTCTCATTAGATATTTTTGGCATTTCATTTAAAGACCTGGCAAGTTGAGGCTTAGAATCTCGTTTAAAAACAAGACAAAAATACGTGATAGAAAGTTGAAAGAGCTATTGAGTGGGGTAAAAAACGGACGCTGGGAACAAAGGTCCTAGTTGTGTTAGGGAAAAAAAAAAGGGCAGGAGGCCTGTGTGTGAGGCCTTGTGTGAGTGAGCCACATCTACTGGATGTGGGGACAGTTAGAGTGAGGAGTGGAGTTCCCATAGGTTTAGAGACAATAAATTGTAGGGAGTTTTATACCATGCAAAGACTTCAGTATTAAATGTTGGAGTAAACATCAATATTAAGTTTTGAAATAAACACAATTTCTTTCTTTCTTTTTGGTACTGAGAATTGAACTCAGGGGCACTTGACCACTGACCCACATCCCAGCCCTGTTTTGTATTTTATTTCGAGACAGGGTCTCACCGAGTTGCTTAGCGCCTTGCCATTGCCGAAGCTGGCTTTGAACTCATAATAATCCTGTTTCAGCCTCCTGAGCTGCTGGTATTACAGGCATGCGCCACCRTGCCTGGCTGAAACACAATTTCTTATTGACTCCTTGTGCCCTGTTTAGCCCCACCAATACAGAACTGGTGTGGGTTTCTAATTTTGTGCGATTAGAGAGTTTCTACATTTCATTTACTTTAAGCTTAAGAGAACATTAACATGGTTGGGCTTGTGGGCTTTGTATATGTCTGCTTTTCCATGAAAGTACCAGTATCCAAACGAATTGTAAACTGTAATTAAGATTTATCATTGTTTCCATCTGCTTCCCTTTTTCTCAGGAATGGGTAGGTTTTAAGTCCACTCAGCTGACATTTACTATTTAATTTGTGTCTGTGATCAGGTATTTTTTTTTTTTCGTGTTTTTTCCCCAATTATCCAAAAGTTTGAGAACTCATCTGGTATTTAGAGTTCCACAAGGTACTATAGTAAAATATTTAAAAAATGACTGGGATGCTAGTCTAGGGTAAAAATCAGTGCTTTCACCTAGCAAAGTAAATTTTGAGTATTATTTTTCCACTTTAACTTTTAAGATTACATATTTTATGTTATTTAGATGAGGTTTTCTGATCCTATTTTAAGAACCTTATCCTAGCAAAGAAGACACATCTATGCCTTGGAAATTCACACACTGCCATTGTGACCTTGAACTAATCACTTCCCTATCTGCTCTCCATTTATTTTATCTATAAAATGGGAATGGATAATTACTCTTTTACCTTACCAGGTGGTTTTGAGACCCAACAATGGCTGTGAAAAAAGCCATAGTGTTAAATAAGTACTAGATATTGTCAGTTTTACAAAGTTGCATTAACTATTTTGAGGTAATTTAAAAAGGTGCAGTTTCTCACCATGGTGTGGTGGTCATCCTCTATAAGGTAGGTTGAAGATTTGAAATATAGCACTTTATAGGTGGAAATTGCTGCTTAATTGGTAGTGGGCACAAATTTTATCTGTTAAATTAATTTTTAAAGATTTTTGCATCAATATGCCAGAAACTTTTTCTCATGTYCTACTGAATAAGCTTGTTAATCATATTTAGAAAAACTTCAGAGGAATTTTATTATTGACCACATTTATACCTGTTCTGGTTTGTGGTTGTGATGAAATTGACTTTCTAATGTCAGAGATCCCAGTAAAAAGAAAAAAGTTTCTGACTCTTGGTCTCTGTTGACTTTACACAGTATAGAGGAAACTACCCCACCGCCCCCCAAGTTGAGTGAGGTCTTTCTGAGCAAATGTGATACCAATTGCTTCTTTAATTTTCCCTGTTTGCCCAGGTAATTTGATGGACTTGAGTCAAAACAGCAACCTACTTGTTGCTTTTCTTTTTCACTCAAGTTGATTCTTGGCTGTTGCTGACCTAACATGCACTGTTCCTCATCTAATCAAGCAAATGCCTACTACATAGTAACCTAGTAGCCATAGAATGTAAAGAACAACTTCATACCTTTAGCTAGGATCCTCAAACTTCTACCCTATGAGTTTTTTCTTTGTAATTCTTGGATTACAGTTCTGCATTTGTTGAAATGTTGTTGTTTCTCAATGGATTATAGGCTTCCTGAGGGCAAGAGTTATCTCACATCACTGTGATATATACGAAGGTGCACTCATAACCCTGACTGAAAAATAATGTCCATTTCATTCCCAGACCAGATCAGTATGTTAGCCTTGTCTTGCCAAACATGTAGTCTTATGCTTGGAAAAATTCTCTGTCCCAACAGATTCTTCAGAATGCTTTCTGAGGTTTGATCAGTGATGGTGACCTGTTTACATGACCCTAATATGTTGTGTGAATGCCTGAGTAGATGTTAATTGTCACATACATGTTTCAGTATTAAGCCAGTGGATTATTCTGTGCCTCTTTTTCTATAGGCCAAGCTGCAGTTAACAGGGTCAAGCCTGAAGGGAGTCCAGGCCAGATAAGATGGAAGAATAAGGATCTGGTGGATATTACTCAATAAGTATAATTGTAGTTGTTGTATAATCTTGGTGCTTGTAGTTTTGTTTTTTTTTTTGCTACTGGGAATTAAATCCAGGTGTGCTTTAACATTTACTGAGCTGCATCTTCAGCCCTTTTTATTTTTATTTTTAGATTAGGTCTTGCCAAGTTRCCCAGGCTGGCGTCAAACTTGTGAGGTTCCTGCCTCAGCATTCCAAGTTGCTGGGGKTTTTAGGAAGTATCTTTAAGGCTCTGACACCATTAGATTGATCCATTGTGGATTAATAATTTCTCATTAATGAGAGGTGTTAGAAATTTGGGATTATGGGCAAATTGCTGAAATTGCAGGCATCTGCCATCACACCCAGCTCAGTCTCTTGATTTTTAAGTAAAATTTAATTTG